CTGTGTGAGAGACTTTGTGCCTTTGAGAGCAAACCGTGACCTTGGCTGTGTGCTACCTTCATCCCTTTGCTCTCCTTTGCCTTTGTGGCTAGCTTGAGGTTACACAACTCTCTTCACCATTCGACCAAACCCGTGGGCAGTAGAGAAACTGTGGAGCAACCGTTTTGGAGGCTTGGGGTTGTGGTTTTCTCGTGTGGTGTTCGATTGGAGGTTTCTGAGCCCGGTTTCTTGGTGCAAATAGAGTGGTTTAACATTACAATAACTCAAGGAAAACCCAGCACAATACATCGCCATGTGTGCTGCTCTGGTCCCTTGATTTTTCAGCCTGATCTACGGTGATGATACCTAATTTATAAGGCATCTAAGTGGTTCCTTTTCTCGTGACTTTTCATTATGTTTCTGCTCAATTTTGTGAGAAGCATCTAGTTTCCTAGTTCGTGTTTCTCTCTATATTCTCTCTCGATTCTTCGTGTAATTGATTAAAACATCTGGTTTTAATCAGAAGTCTCCGTGATTAGAGTCTTGGTGATTCTTCGATTGAGGTTTTAGGAGGGTTAGATTGGCTATGTAATCTTGAACCATTGAGTAGCTACGTTGGGCGATTTCTTTAGGGTTTGAGGTCTTTTGTGGCTGTTTTCTTTGTACAAAAGGGTACAATGATTCTTTGTGTTCTGAGCCCTAAAACATAATAGAATCCTCTTGGTATTGGTATTTGATTCCGTTGATGTTCGACTCTACATCAACCTTTTTTTTTTTTTTTTGCCACATTCTTATCATCAACTTTCCTTGATTATTACATCGTGTATCTCGTAATGATTTCCATCAAAAACATCCATTAGAGGCGAAAAACAATTTATTTGCCAACCATGTTTTTAAAATCAATGAATATTAAAGCGCAACAAAATATATCCCTAATTTTAAAGCACATAAATAGAATATTTTGAAAAATATTCATCAACGACAAAATTTGCTAATTCATGGAATGTTGAAAAAAAGATCTCATCGAAAAAAGTTAAGAAAATAAATGGTACAACGAATAAAGATTGATGAGCTCAATTGTAATTGATATGTAGTGTAACAAATAACAAATGTGATGCCAATATAATCGTCTCTTATATAATATTATAACAAATAATATTAATTGGGAAATTTCCAGTCCCAGGTTGCCGAAATAATTCTAGAAATAATTCGGTAGCAACATAATTAGAGACCATTTGGCTTTTTTATGTAATTAGAATTGCATTTGTGTTTCTTGAATATCGTACAAAAGCAAAATGTTCGAATTCATCACATGCAAACCGTGACAATGCGAAAAAATCAACTTGGGAGATTAATGGGTTGAACATTATAGAGTTGAGTTACTAAATATTGAGGTTTAGGAGCCATTTTTCAGCATGTCAATAAGTTCAAGGAAAAACCATTTAAGGACAAACCAATTATCTATATAATTTAGAGTGATGCTAATTATACATAAGGAGCAGCATAAAGCTTTACAGACTGATGGGACGTCAAAAAGTAATTAGTGAAGTTTTTTTTTTTTTCCCCTAAAGAGATTTTGATTCAATTATATCTCATTTCATCCTATGTTTGTAAATAAATGTGTAATTGATGATATCATGATGTATATGTAACACAAACGAATAATTTATAGCTAAATTAATGAACTTTTTACACAAACTCATAAATCAGTTTTGTAACTAATTAACTAATTCTGAAAAATTAAGGCATCGGCGTAGTTAGGATTTGTTATATAGACACTCTTAGAAAATTAAAATAAAGCAGTTCCCAATCACATTTGGACGGCGATAAAATGTCTAAAATGTTCATCAAACTACAACTTTAGTATTGGCTTTCTTCCTCTCTTGATTCTCGAGCATCAAAATTAGTCATGCATTTCTGTGGAAAGAACAAGTTATAATTTTGAAACATTCATATGGGACTTATTCAAATTGTTGTTAAATTATTGTTTAGATATTCCAATTCTCTTAACTCTTAGAGATAAGAGACTTCTTAAATTTATTCATTATTTTCTGTTTTAGAAAGTGGTTCAATTTTTTCAAATTGTTATTCAAATTTTATAATTAGTCTCGATGATGGAACTATTCTTAATACTCTGAATCTTCATATTCAAACAAAAAATTTCGATATTGATGATAGTTTAAAATCATTTGCTTTAATATATCGAATATATTATAAGTCTATGAATACTCAACTTAATATTCAAGATCTTCGCTCATCTGCAAGAGATGAGAGTCTTCTTGTGAAAGTCAACCCTCTTCATTCTAATACCATGATTCCTAAAAGGATACCATGAAACCTTCAATCTAGAGGATTATATTTTCAAATTTTCTGAACAACTCAAATGTGCTAATTTTGATCCAAATATTCGTAAAACTCTATATACATCTAATAAAGATGATGATTCAGAACATCCTAAATCCTCAACTTTATCTAACATGTTACCCAATCCATCTGAAAGGTTGGATAGTCAATGTAATGTTATTTCCTCTACTATTGATAGAAAAATGAATTCAAAATTGATCAAACTCCGGTTGTCAAAACTTTTCGACATACTCTCAAAAAGATATTTTCAAAAGAAGAAATTAAATCTTTATGGGAAGAATTTTATGATTTTTCTAAAAATTTAAGTTTTTATGAATGGCACATTTCCAAGTATTT